TCTGCTGTGTTGACCCGGATTTCCAGAGACATGGCCTGCTTGCTGTCTGCCCCTGACCTCTGCATGTTCCTGGACTATTCTTCTGCCTGCTGCTCTTGTACTTCGCTGGCTGATTGTTGTTGACCCTGGCCTGCCTGACTTTGTCCTGCTCCTGCAGTGTTCCTCGCTGACCTTCCGGCTTCATCCTTGCCTGCTTCTTGCTTCCTTGGAAACCATCTTCTGGACTTAACCAGGCACGGTGTCTTACACCCCCTGGCACCTGTGCTGCTGTCTGTCCTCTCACTTCCTGTCTCCACTCTCAGTAGTGTGGGACAAGAGTTCCAAAGGAGGCCTCCTTAACTATTTGGTCCTCTACCTGGTACATGATAGTAGTAAACACATGGGCAGCCCTGAAGGTGAACCCTAGCAATGCAATCCCTGCTTAGCTCCTTTTCTATTGTATGCATGAATGATGGCGACCGGGTTCAGGAGGATGGGTCATAGCGCTGGGGATGATGGGACATGTAGTCCCAAAGAAGGTGATCATTTGACCTACTCAGTATTCACTTCCCAACCAGAAGTTCAGGGAAGTGCTGATTAATGATCTAGATCAACCAGTGGTGATCATATCTATTTGTAAGTGCTTTCACCTATAATCAAAGAAAATGATTTACAGAGGATTGTTTTTTTTTAGTGGCTAATGATTTATTAACATGACAAAATTAAGACTACTGCTACTTTAAGGAGAAAATTAGAACCTTCTCTCTATTGTTGCTCTAGAAACTGTCAAGCTTCCAAAACTGGTTTTTGAGGGCATGGGCCATGATGTCTATCAGCAGCACAGACAATTTTTTTCAAATTCTAAGTCCAAGGATGCTATTGTTGACGTCCTTCTGAAATCTCTACTTGTGTGGCTGTGTCTGTCCTCAGTTCTTTTTGAGAAATTGTCCTGGAGCAAGAATGCAGCAGTCAGTGTAGGTAGAACTCCTGATCTCTGTACTTGTTCTGGGAAAGTACTAAATCTTTTGAATCAGCATTGACCGAAAAGACAACAAGCATTTTAAAAAGGAGAGAGCAACAATTGTAGCCACATTTTTCTCAGTGCAGGTTTCCTTTAACTGAATCCTGAATGCACATTTGTAGATTTTCTTCACCTCTGGACAATGTAATATCGGGTTTTCAACTCATTCAGGACCACAGCAGAAGGTTACGGATGTTTTCCTCAAGTATTGGACTTCAACTCAGTGCTTTTTAATTATATATCACTCAGTGAGGTGCTTAGGTATTTAATGTAGGAATTCTTTGACTGCTAATTTCCTTTCCAGCTAGAATGTCCTAATGAGCCTGAGTTACTGGTGCAAGATTTGGTTTATTTGAAATTTCAAATTTTTAAAGACTTTTTAAAATACAAAACAATGGTTTCCTTTAGAAACAAGCAGAGCAGATGTGTGCTTTTATCAACCAATAAACACCTACTATAGCACTGATGTTAACGCGAAAATATTTTTCTAGATCACAGTAACACCCACTAGGTATGTGTGCCCCATTGGCCAGGCCAGTAGAGAACCATCTTTGTTGCCTTCAATATACAGAGTAGGATAGAATAGGGTATTAGAGGCACAGCCCACTAATTTCTAAACTCATTAATTAATTGTTAAAGACGTATTTGTAAAAATATTGTGCTTCCAGTGTAATTTTCTGCAGTTAGGCATTGATCTAATTTGTGGAAAGAATGTATTTGTTCTTGCATGATGGCCTATCCATCAAGCGCTCAGAATGGCCCAATCACTAACCACAAAATATGCAGCTACACTGTACCTTTTTTGTTGGGCACAAAAAGTTTCCTTTGCCCACTCACGGTCATTATATATTTATATTACAAAAAGATTTTTGAAATAGGGGTTTGGAGCATGGCTTACCTTTTTACCCTGTTATAGTTTATGTTTGCCAATGTCAGAGTCCTCTCCCAAGCAGAATCTTTCTGCCTAAATATTCTCTACAGCGCATTAGTGGATTCATCCTTTGACTTTCTGATACTTCGCACAAGCAGAATGGCCCAGAGGCAGAACAGTTGCTAGTGATCAGGGGCGGACTGACCGTTCGGGTTACATACTGATTGTCCTGCAATGCCGACGAATGCTGTCCTCAATTCGTCCTCCATGTTATGGCCCAGCGGCACACTGAGGGCTGTAGCGTACAGGCAGAGCTGCCTCTCAGTGAGAGGAGCTTAGCACACAGCTACCTGTCACTGATGTTCACGGCTTTGTCAGAGGGAGCTCATATATGTGAATACCAGGGGGCCTGGCAGGGGACTTTCCACAGCTCTGGTGCAGTATCCACGATTCTCCAGCAATTTTAATTTTTTTCAAAGAATGACTAAAGGTGAGCAAAAACCTACAAATTATGCTTTTTTTGCTTCTTGTCGGCTGTGATATTAAGGACATGTCGCATGTGAATAAGGCTAAATTTGTTGTATATTTACTTCCCAGACAACATCAGACGGAATTTGTTAGCGATTTGGCAAAACTGTTGTGAACAGTGCAGGCATAGATAGCAAAGAGATTTTGGCCTTTTTGTAATAACATTACTGATTTCCATAAATCATGGCTTGATTTCCTTTGACTACCTTCTGACCTCTGCTTTCTGTTTGTTACTTCTTTCTGACTTGTGAATAGCCCGTACAGCACCCCCTCGGTTCTCCTGAACCGAAGGGGTCCTGGGGCCGAAGCTAGCCGAAGGATCGGCCGAAGCTACGGCCAGATCCTTTGGCAGTTTGTGAATAGACCCCTCTGTGTTCTGTTGCTTCCTTTTGACCTCTGCGTTCCGTGTGTTACTTCCTTCTAACCTCTGTGTTCTGTGCTTTACTTCCTTTTGACCTCTTTGTTCTTTGCATTACTACTTTCTGACCTCTGCATTTTGTGTGTTACTTCCTTCTGCACTCTGTGTGTTACTTTCTTTTGACCTCTGGGTTCCGTGTGTTACTTCCTTCTAACCTCTGTCTTCTGTGCTTTACTTCCTTTTGACCTCTTTGTTCTGTGCATTACTACTTTCTGACCTCTGCACTCTGTGTGTTACTTTCTTTTGACCTCTGCGTTCTATGTGTTACCTACTTCTGACCTCTGCATTCTCTGTTACTTTTGACCTCTGCGTTCTGTGCGTTACTACTTTCTGACCTCTGCGTTCTGTGCATTACTTACTTCTGACCTCTGCACTCTACTAACTTCTGACCTCTGCGTTCTGTGCGTTACTACCTTTTGACCTCTGCGTTCTGTGCGTTACTTCCTTCTGACCTCTGCATTCTGTGTGTTACTTGCTGCTGAGCTTTGCTTTCCTAACTACTGAACTCTGCATTATTTGCCACTATGTGTTTCTTACTACTGACCTGTGCACTCTGTGCATTTCTTACTACTTACATTGGTTCTGGCCTTAGGACTGTCATGCAATGGTTCTGGTCTGCGGTTTGCAGTGCATTGGTTCTGGTCTGACGTCTTCCGTGCATCATTTCTGGTCTGAGGTCTTCCGTGCATTGGTTCTGGTCCGAGGTTTGCTGTGCATTGGTTCTGGCCTGAGGTCTTCCGTGCATTGGTTCTGGCCTGAGATCTTCCGTGCATTGGTTCTGGTCTGAGGTCTTCCGTGCATTGGTTCTGGTCTGAGGTCTTCCATGCATTGGTTCTGGTCTGAGGTTTTTTCGTGCATTGGTTCTGGTCTGAGGTTTGCATGCAGTGGTTCTGGTCATGGGCAGACTGACCATTTGTGGGCCTTACCACACTTATTG